CCCCCCCCCCCCCCCCCCCCCCCCAGTGTCCGGTCCCTCAGTTTTCTGGTCCCAAAGGCTAGGTTGATTCGGGTTGATTTTCGTAGTGTGGGTCTCTGAGGCTGGGAGTGCGGGGTGGGGGAAGGGCGCGACACTCGTCTCGTCCCTCGCCCTCGGCCCCTGGCCCTGCCGCACAGCTCTCGGGAGCGCAGAATGCGGCCTGGCCCACGACCCCTGGCCTGCCCCCTCGAGCTTCCGTAGTCCGCAGCACCCCGAGGCGGCCGGCTGTTGTCCATCTGTCCTGACCCAGCGGACTCCTGCAGCCTGGAGACGGCATATCCAGAGAGGGGGAGGAAACACCTCGAAGGTGGGGTCGGCCTCCACCCGGGGTGGGGGAGGGGCCGAGGGCGCCTGGACGGCCGTTCATGGGGGGAGGGGTGTGGCTGGGCGGGGGAGCTGGGGGCAGGGCTGGGCCTGTTGGATTCTGGGGGGTCCCAAGTCACGGAGATAGCAGAGGGGCCCTCATTTTTGGTGCTTAATTTCCGTTTGGGAGCCTTCTGAAGGCTCGGCATAGAAACGTCCGGGCCTCCATCTCGTTGGTCATGTGACCCAGAAGCTCTCCTTCCCCCTCCCAGTTATTCTTCGTGTGCCCTGTCTGTGTGTCTGCGGCCTCTGCTTTAGACCGTAAGCTCCTCGAGGGCAGGGACGCCTTTGCCTGGAGCTGGGCCCGCATGGCTGAGGATGGTGCTGATTAACACTTGTAGAGCGCTTACTGTAGCCCTGGAGTAAGCACTATAAATATTACCTCATTTGGTTTTCACAACAGCCTTTTGAGCCTACTACCACTACTACCACCACCACTATTACTACTATTTAGTACTACCACCACCACCACTACTGCTACTGCCACTACTACGATCACTACTATTTCTACCACTAATACTATTACTACTACTACCACCACCACCACCACTACTGCTACCACTACTACTATCACTACCACCACCACCACTACTGTTACTATTTATATAGTACCTACTATGTGCTAGGCATTGTGATTAGTATTTTACAAATATTATCTTATTTGGTCCTCATAAGAACCCTGCGAGGTAATAATAATAATGATTAACATTTACGTAGCATGTACTGTGTCAGGCACTATAAGTGTTTTACAAATATAATCTCATTTAAGATCTTTACAACAACCTTGCAAGGTAACAATAATATTATTACTACTACTAATAATAATAGCCAGCATTTATTTATATAGTGTTTACTATGTTCCAGACACTGTGCTAAGTGCTTAACAATTGTTATTCCCACTTGATCCTCACAACTACCCAGGGAGGGAGGTACTATTATTATCCTCATTTTACAGATGAGGAAACTGAGGCAAACAGGTTAGTGACTTGTCCAGAGTTACACAGAGTAAGTATCTGAGGCAAGATCGGAACTCAGGTCTTCTTGACTCCAGGCCTGGTGCTCTATCCACTGAGTCACCTAGCTAGTATTTAATAAATGTTTATTGATTGACTGAGGTATAACCCCCTAAATAAAATCTCTTTCTGGTGGGTGGTTAGGTCCTTGATCATTTTTTTTTTTTTTTGGCTAGGCAATGGGGTTAAGTGACTTGCCCAGGGTCACACAGCTAGTAAGTGTCAAGTATCTGAGCCGGATTTGAACTCAGGTCCTCCTGACTCCAGGGCCGGTGCTCTATCCACCATCTAGCTGCCCCCAATCCTTGATCATTTTTAAGAGGGGAAGGAGTGTAAAGGGGTTAAGGAGTATGAAATGTGAGAACCACTGTACTAGACTGATAGCAATAATAATGACAACAGCAAAGATAATAAATAGCTAACGTTTATGTAGTGCTTTGAGGTTTGTGAAGCGTTTTAAGTGAATTATCCCATTTGATCTTCACAACAGCCCCACGAGGTGGGTGCCATTATTACCCCCATTTTACAGCTAAGTAAACTGAAGCTGAGAGCAGCTAAATGACTTACCTAAAGTCATGCAGGCAGTACTATTCTGAGCTAGGTTTTGAACTCAGAGCTCCTTGCTGTTATGCTGTTATGCAATCCTCAAGAGGCATGTAGGGACTGAGGATTTGGAAAGGGACCTGGGTTATGTCTATCTGTTATGGTGGTTCTGCTTCTTCAGCTTACCTAAGTCCACTCATTGTCCCTTTTTCCAGGGTTCCTCCCAACAGAAAATGAAGCATTTGACTTCATCTTAGGATTTCTAAAGTCTAAAAAACAGGTACAAATGTCTTTCTGGAATATTTGGGTAGTGGAGTGTGGTGGTTGAAGGGGCTTGCTCACATACCTTCCCTTCTCCTTCGGGGTTGGACTCTGCTTTCTCTTTGCCTGACCTGAATATCGTCCCTCTTATGACCACCCTCCTCTTTGCTCTGTGAACATCATTCTTCTGGACAGATTCCCTGGGGACTAGGCAGTTGTCCAGTGCTCTTCTCCCTCTCCTCACCCCATGAAAGTGTCCCATGGCGGGTGCAGTGGAAAGAGTGTGGATTTGGGATCAGATGACCCAGGTTTGAATCCAAGGTCTTCCACTTCCAATTTGTGTGACCCCGCATTAGACTATGAGCTCCCTGAGGGCAGAGACTGTCTTTTGACTTTCTTTGTATCCCGAGCACTTAGGATACAGTGCCTGGCACACAGTAGGCACCTAATAAATGCTGAGTGCAGACTCACTGGCTGATGTGGGCAAGCCACTTCACCTCAAGGCCCCTTCTAACTCTAAATTTGTGATCCCTGCCTAGCCTCTCTAGGTATAAGTCCCACATGCCACCTCCCACACAGAATGATTCCCTTGTACTCCCTGTGAATGAAGGGCTGCCCGTTCTGTGATGCACTTTGATAAGGGAAGAAGTGAGCATTGTGCTAGGGAAAACTAAGAAGAGAAGTAAAGGGAAAGCATGGACCGGATCCACTTTGTCCTGGTTCTGTCCAAGATGCCTTTTGGTCCAGCCCAGGAGAGATCCATCATGAAATGGGTTGACTGAGGGAGAAATGAGGGGAAAAGGTGGGCAATGTTCAGGCAGGAGGAAGACTGTAGGTGTGTCTCCTTCTAGGATGAATCCACAAAGATGACGTTCTTGAGCTCTGTGAGCATCCTCTGCAGTGCTGTGCAGAGTCAGAAGCACCGCAACATGGATTACTACTGCAGTAAAGCCATGTTGGCAGAGAGAGTGGAGGTGAGGACACCCTTGGGGGAGAGAGGTGGGGAGGTTTTATCTCTTCTCAAAGTCAGTCACCAAAGGTTTGGGAGCAGTGGGAGCCATTCCTGGGCCAGATGTGGCAGTGTAGGGAGTGGGACAAGTCTTGGAGGGGAGTTCTGGGCTGTCTGTTCCTCCCGGACCTTTCAGATGTTGATGCTTGAAGAGCCTGCTGATATGATGAGCAGTTCTCTGAGACAACAAGCCATGTTCTGCATCATGGAAATGAGGTACCTCCCGTCCCCAGCTTGCCTCGTTGGTTAAAAGGGATCCTCTTGTTCACTTGGGATGGAGGGTGGGTGTCCTTGCAACCTCAGAACCTTGGCTCGCTCTGCTTTCCACAGATGTCTAGTTGCTAATGTCATCACTATATCTTGGGGTGGGATGGGGAGGGGGATCACTTGGGCAGGGGTGTGCTGATAGATGATTAACAACCAGATCTCTGATTAAAAATAATATGCATAACATACTTTTAAGTTTAATATTAATTATTAATATTTCTCTATCATGTTCTCAAATTTAGACAATCAAAACAATAAATCAAGTCCTAATTTGTGTCATTTGTTGATTTCTGGGATGTAAGTACTCACAGAGAAAATTTAACAGTTTCTCTCCAGAGTCAATTTCTCCAGCACACCCCTGTTTGAGAATCAGTATGAACTCCTCAAAACAGGGTGGTAGTATCCCTGGAAGTCCAGGCCTGTGGACCTCGACTGGGACACCTAGCACCATTTACTTTTCTCTGGAAGATATTCTCCACTGGTCCCCAAACAAATACTCAAATGAACACTCTGGTTTTGTTTCAATTAAGAGTCCAAGATATTACTTACTTACCCCTTCTTATCCCATTGTCTCCTCCTACCCCAGCCAGGTGAACCCAAAGTTCCAGCCCTTACAAAGAATGGAGTTGATACAGTCAGGTATTCTCAGTCTGATTTCCTTGCCCCACAACATGGAGGCTGACACCAACAGGGAGATCATTAGTCTATACAGCCGGGTAATTTCTATAGCTGCCCCTACTTCTCTCACCACCCGTTTTCCTCTTGGACTTCAATGCCCAAAGTAAAAGGGAGGGCAGGGTTTCCTCCTGGCTGTTCCTCAACCTTATTGTCAAATCTCTTAGACTGTTCGGGCCTTGGATGAAATGTTGCAAGGACTAATGACTGAAACTGAGAACCCCAGCATGCTGGTGTTTATTGAAATCATGGAGGTGGGTAGTGCTTGCCAAGGAAGTGATTTGTGGGAAGAAATAGAAAAAGATGGAGGATAGGTGGTGTGGTAGAATGAAAATGGTGTTGGATTTAGAGTCAGAGGACCCAGGCTTAAATCCTGTCTCCATTACTTACTACCTATGTAACCTTGGGCATTTCACCTCTCTTTCCTCATCTATAAAATGAGGGAGTTGGATTATGAAACCACTAAGGTCCCTTCTATCTGTAAATGGTATGAAGCTATATATCTAGCTTTCAGGGTAAGACTGAGAATGTTTCAGGCCCCATGTTATTATTATATCCACCATATTCTGATACTTACTGGCAGTACAGAGATGGTTCTTGGTAGTTTTTTTTTTAATTTTCCAGGTCATAAGCTTTATTTTTATTTTAAAAACTCTATTTTTATTTATTTCATTAAACATTTCCTAATTACACATAAAAATTTTTAACAATCAGTTGAAAAAATTTTAGTTCCAAATTCTCTCCCTCCCTCCTGCCCCCCCTTTGAGAAGGCAAGCAATTTGATATCAATCATACATGTGAAGTCATGCAAAGCATATTTCTGTATTAACCACGTTGCAAAAGAAAACACAGACCAAGAAAAACAAGAAAAATAAAGAAAGTTAAAAGAAGTTGCTTCAATCTCCATTTAGAGTTCATCAGTTCTCTCATTGGAGGTAGATAGCATTTTCCCTCATGAGTTCTTTGGAATTGTCTTTGATCATTGTCTTAATCAGAGTAGCTAAGTCTTTCATAACTGATCATCGTTATAATATTACTGTTGCTGTATTCAGTTTTCTCCTGGTTCTGCTCACTTCACTTTGCATCAATTCACATAAGTCTTCCCAGGTTTTTCTGAAAGCATCCTGCTCATCATTTCTTGTAGCACAATAGTATTCCATTACAATCATATCCTACAATTTGTTCAGCCTTTCCCCAATTAATGGGACTGCCCTCAATTTCCAATTCTTTGCCACCACAAAAAGAGCTGCTATAAATATTTTTGTATAAATAGGTCCTTTTCCCATTTGATCTCGTTGGGATACAGATCTGGTAGTGGTATTGCTATGCTAAAGAGTCTGCACAGTTTTATAGTTTTTTGGGAGTAGTTCCAAATTGTTTTCTAGAATGATTAGACTAGTTCACAACTCCACCAACAGTGCATCAGTGTCCCACTTTTTCACACCTCCTCCAACATTTGTCATGTTAGCTAATCTGATAGGTGTGAAGTGGTACCTCAGAGTTGTTTTAATTTGCATTTCTCTGATCAGTAGTGCTTTAGAGCATTTTTTCATGTGACTATTGATAGCTTTGATTTCTTCTGAAAACTTCATGTTCATATTCTTTGACCACTTATCAATGGAGGAATGGCTCTTATTTTAATAAATTTGGCTCAGTTCCC